CTTGATCTTTGCGGATTGTCTGTGGAACAATTGACATTTGCAGTCCTGGCTAGAAGGAATCTCGTAATCCGTTCTTACCACATTAAGATCTAATTGCCTGCCTTAATAGGATTTTGCAGAAGTAGAAAAACAAAGGAAGTAGAAATGATTGGTGGAAAAAGAGTAAAATATACAGTGGAAATAAATTTAAACCTATGATCACTTGATCAAAAGCAAGCCAGAAAGCCTTTTATTTATGGGAAAACTTTTCTCCTTAATTTCCTGTGGGAAGGGAGAAAACAATTTTGTTCATGGTAGCACGTTTTCTTTTCAACTAGAAATGTGGGGTTTTTTTAGGAAATTCTTGACCGGTTGCGGTGACAAGGCTAATTGAAGAATCTTTTTGTTTGCTGAAACAGAGTGAGCTTGTTTGGAGTCTTGGGAACCTGAAAGTAAAATGAGAGGTTCATGTGCTATGATTCTGTTTTTATTTGTTTGTTTTAACTTTTGAATTTGCTTTAACTTTAGATATGCTTTTGAATCAGGAGGGCAAGTGAATTACAGAGACAGAGAGATGAAGTTTTTATCAGTAAGTACAGGAAGAAGTAGGATGTAAATAAACATTAGTGACATACCAATCTGCTGCTTCCTTTTCCTCTAACTTCTGTATTTGAGCTAGAACAGTTTCTTAGGAAATAACCCAAATATGTCCACTTTGTATTTCAGCATTTATAGTCTGAAATATGTCAGAAAAATTCACCAGGTTAATCACATTCTGAGCTTTTTCTATTATAGTTTTTCTTTAACACTAATGAAAGGATTATTTGCTAAAATTAAAGGTCTTATTTTGTGTAGCAGTACAGCCCTAAATATCACAATATAATAGGCTTGAATTAAAATCTGTGCTTATTAAAACTGAACTAAAATACACTATTTTAAAAAGAAGACTCTGTCCTGGAATTCCATACTGGGAATTAAAAATTATTTCTCTTCAATAACTACAGTTTTCTAGTTTGGGTCTAGATCTTGGTGTGTCAAAATGCCCTGTTCTGCTGAGTCTCAAGGTCTGTTCAGTGCCTTGCAAGCCCTGAAAAGGGCTGAAAGAAACGCATGTTTTCACCATGAGAAATCAGACATTTGGGCTTTTTAGCTGCATGATACTTTGCTCATCAGTTTGAGCTACCTGCTTACAGACTTTTCTGCATCAGGGTTGTGAATAGAGCTTGCACTTGAGGTCTTGAGGGGAGGCCACCTATGGCAGGGAGCTGCAGGCTCTGCCTGCCAGACGCAGACTGGCATTTATGTGTCTCTTTTTCCCTTTTTTCTGTACTACTGTGTCATCACTGCATCTTATCATAAAACCCCAGCCCCAATCTGGCACTCTTAAAAGGAGGTGAAAATTAGCAGTGAAAATATTGTCTCCTTACTCCAAGGAATACTCTGGACAGTAAGCTTTAAAGCAGGTTTTGAAAGCTTCAAATAGTTTAAACTTAACCTTGGAATAAGGAAAATCCCAAATCATTATGATACTGTAGAGACCTGTTGTTCTGAGTAGCTCTTAATAGTTTAATTTCTATGGTTATTAGTTTAGTAAAATTAAACACCAGAACATGTAATGATGGATTTAACGGAGAAAATACCAAATTTATTTGCAGCTTGTCAGTCAGAATGTGTCTTATACTTTGTGCAGGTTTATCATTTTTAATTTTGTTTTTTTAAGACGGGGAGCATTTAAATATTTGTAGGCATATGAGGACAGAAACCTGTTTTCAGCTCCTGGAATTGATTTTTTTTTTGCTAGCTAGAAGGTCTGCGTCTCTTTTATGAGACAGTGTTAGACAGTACTGCCACAGAGGGGTATTTTGTGTTTTATAACTGCTAAGCTCTGCCAAAACAGTAGCTCTTATGTGAGTATCAGTAACTTGAAAGAAAAGACATGTTCAGAGCACTGAATGTGGTACTTCTCGGTGTAAAGCTCCTGTTACACCACGCTGCCTACAGCCTCTCAAAGAGGATTACACAAGCTTTGTGTCTCCTAACCTTTTTTGAAATCATTTTGTGTGCGTGCAAGACAGAGATCTGATAGAGGTGAATTTTAGCTTTAGCTTTTTTTATTGTTCTTTGTAAGTCTGTAGCTGGAACCACTTTGTGCTCTCGCATTTCTTTTCCATTATTTCAGTTGCTTGGAGCCACCACCTCTGCAGCACTTGGGTTTTGGTGCTTTATCCACGTGTTCTCATGGCAGCAGCAAAAAAATCACCGTCATTCTGTGAAAGGAATTCTGCGTGTCGTGCCCTAAACCACAATGAAGTAACTTCCCACGTAATTAGCTAGTGCAAAGTTGAGGGAAAGGCTAGCCCCAGAGGAACAAGCAGTAGCAGCTACCCATGTTGGTTGCAGCAGTCATCTTGTTCCTTCTTCCCCTCCTGCTGGCCTCCATCTCCCTGCATGTTGCATTGCTCTGTGTGCAGGGCCATGGCTGTAGCAAGCACGCATGACTTGTCCTTGCAAAGCATTTGGCTCTGTGCTCTCCCGACAAACTATTGCACTGGTAACCCAGTGGAGGAGAAGCTCTCGTGACTGCCAAGGTGGGTGAGACCACAGGGAAGACAGCCTGGAGACCTGTGCGAGCATCCCTTTCAAATGGTTTCCAATAAAGAGAAGAAATACATGCAGGAAAAAAACCCAACTCTGCTGCTGTTTTGTGGTTCTCCTGTCCTGGGCAGGTGGCAGTTATGCTTTACGAGTAAGGAGGATCCTTTTGTGTCTATCTGTTCACCTAGTACAAATGACTAATGCTATTCTTTTGCACAGGGTTGTTACTTAAATGTTAAAGGTAGCAATTCTAGGGCAAGCAGTCATGCTGTGACTCAGTCTAGGTAAGCACCGGGACACATTAAAGAAAGCGGGAGTTTGTACCTAACTTGAAGTGAAGCAGTGGGAGGCTTTGATAGCTGCGGCGTGTGTTGCTGGTCCATGTCCTCAGCGCTTCCTATGGCAGCCACAGCCCTGGGGAGATGCATGGGGAAAGGCCTGGGAGCCAGCTCTTGTGGAGCTGGGAGAACTCCAAGACCCCAACAACCTGTGTTGCTGATGAGGGAGGCATATTTGACATTCATTTGTCCACTGGAAAATATAGAAAGAGAGAGCTGGAAGCTCCTTCTCTCCATTCCCAGAGGAACTGAGCCTTAACTTCTACGTTTGGGCAACCGTACAAAGAGCACCGACTGTGATGAGTGCTGCAGTGAGATAAAACCCTCTCCTCTCTGCCTGCCTTCACCAGATCGCAGGCTAGGCATGCAAAACTGGTGAAAGCTCCTGGGAGGAGAGCGTGGGAGGCCAGGGGCTGGTTACCTCGCCGTGGTGGAGGAAACGCTTTCCTTGGGAGCTCTGCGCCGGGCTCTGGAATGGGGGGGGGGGGGCTTTCCCACAGACCGAGATCTTGGGGGCTGCTGGCGGTGGTGCAGGGAAGGAGAGGGGTAGTGCATGCCTTTGGCCGTGTAGGCAGTAGCTGATATTAGAGTTCTGCGTATAGAAATATCTGTTGTTATCTTCAGAGAAATGTGGGCTAGAAATAATCAAATGATCACGTTATACATTCATTGCTTGTGACACTGTTGTTTAGGGTTTATAAGGTGCAGGTCTGTACGAACTGGTATGCGACAAGTTAAAAATAATAAATCTGATGCATCTTTATCCTGCCTGCTTTGATCTTCTTGTGCTCTGCTAAGCTGTTCTTCTCCCAGCCAAAGGGAGCCGGGCTCTGGGTGATAATGTACATCCTGTCTCCTTCCCCACTCCATGTGTGCACACAAGCTGCATATTTTACTTTAGATATGGCAAATTTGGGTCACAAGTTCAGCAGTTAAAATGATGTTTTTACCACATCCTGCTTGCACAGGAAGCTTATTTTTTAAAAAGCTGAGAAGTCGAGTCCTCTAGATTTTGTCAAAACAAAAAGCAAAGCAAGCTATTTAAAGCTGCAAAGAGGTTTGGATTCTCACACCATCAGTTTGTCACTTTGTCTTACAGTGCCTATGTTTAATTAAAGTGAAAGCCTTGCAGCCTGTTCCTGTGCTACCTGGACTGTCCAGCTTCCTGTCATCACCAGGCTGTGATGATAATCTGAAAAAAATATTTTCCCCATTATGTTAAGAAAGAGTTGTGGGGCTTTTTTTCTTGGTTAGCTGGGTTGGATTTTTCTGAGGAAGGATTATTTCTTCATTACCTGAGGGGAAAAAAAAAATGTATACAGTACCATTTGGTCCAGTAAATAGGTGATAACTGTTTCTCACTGGAAAACATCCAAACACATTAAAAAAAAAACCTGTGCCAAATATTCATGTAGTAACTGCAAGACTTTCACTTGTGCAGTGGTACTTAAGGGAAAGGAGACAATCAATCTGGTAAGCAATGTGGATTCTCACTAACAAGGAGTGGGAGACATTGGCTGTTATTGTGTTAGATGAAAAGAAATAAGAGACCTTGTTCATAATGGAACAAGAGACTTAAAATGTGCTGTGCAAGTCATGAGGAAGGTGCAAACCATTTAACAAATGCTATTTTGTTTAAAAGCAAGGTACTGCAAAATAATGTTAGTGCTGGATTTCACGTGTTCAGACTCAGGCAGTCGTTTTTACAGAATCAGATTTTGTGCACTGTAATCAATTGTTGCTATTCATGTTACTAATATGTCAGCTACAGCACTTTACCTTTCAGATCTCAGCTGCACAGAGCAGGCCTTGGTATTTATACTACAAAGTAGCAAAGATATGTAAATATCATCTGACCTGAAGTGAGAAGACTTCTGTTTTGATGCTGAAGTAATGTGTCATTTCAGTACATATCCTTTGAGAAAACTGTGTTGAGTGGAATGATGGACAATGTATGACAGGCAACAAAACATTACGAAAACTGGAACCTTCTGAGGATCTGTGTGTCATGGTGTGATTGTTATTAAATGGTAAAATAGCCTGCTCACCAGTCAACAATACTGATTTTGTCTTTGTTCTCTTGTAGGAATGTTTACCCTTGCAGAAGTTGCATCGCTCAATGACATCCAGCCAACTTACCGTATCTTGAAACCATGGTGGGATGTATTTATGGATTATCTAGCTGTTGTTATGTTAATGGTTGCCATTTTTGCTGGAACCATGCAGTTGACCAAAGACCAGGTGGTTTGCTTGCCAGTTTTGCAGTCTACTGTAAATTCAAAAGCACAACCCGGCACGTCAGGGAAAGCTGACTTTACCACTGTTGAAACAACCACTGGTCAAGGAGAAGATGCATCAATGAGAACGGTTTCCTTCAGAAGCACCTCTACTGTAACACCCAGCGTACCTCTGAGCAGAGCTGCCTCTTCTCAGGATCAACCCACTGAATCAGGCCAGGAGCTGAAGAAGGAGCAGAAAGATTCTTCAGGCCGTAAAACAAATTTGGATTTTCAGCAATACGTATTTATTAACCAGATGTGCTATCATTTGGCTCTTCCTTGGTATTCAAAGTATTTTCCCTATCTTGTTCTCATCCATACTATCATTTTAATAGTCAGTAGCAATTTTTGGTTCAAGTATCCCAAGACTTGCTCAAAAATTGAGCATTTTGTTTCTATATTAGGGAAGTGCTTTGAGTCCCCTTGGACTACAAAAGCATTGTCTGAAACAGCGTGTGAGGACTCAGAGGAGAACAAACAGAGGTTAACTGGTGCCCAGTCCCTGCCCAAGTATGTTTCCACCAGCAGTGATGAAGGAAGCCCGAGTGCCAGCACTCCCATGATAACGAAGTCTGGCTTCAAATTTTCAGCTGACAAGCCGATGATCGAGGTTCCCAGCGTCACTATATTAGATAAGAAAGATGGCGAACAAGCCAAGGCGCTGTTTGAGAAAGTCCGTAAGTTCCGGGCTCACGTGGAGGACAGTGATCTGATTTACAAGCTCTACGTTGGCCAGACTGTCATCAAGACTGTCAAGTTCATATTTATTCTCTGCTATACTGCAAACTTTGTCAATACCATTAGTTTCGAACACATCTGCAACCCAAAAGTGGAACACCTGATTGGCTACACACAGTTTGAATGTACACACAACATGGCTTACATGTTGAAGAAGCTACTTATCAGCTATATTTCCCTCATTTGTGTCTATGGTTTTATCTGCCTCTACACGCTTTTTTGGCTGTTTCGAATACCTTTAAAAGAATATTCCTTTGAAAAGGTCAGAGAAGAGAGTAGCTTCAGTGATATCCCTGATGTCAAAAATGATTTTGCGTTTCTCTTGCATATGGTAGATCAGTACGACCAGCTGTATTCTAAGCGATTTGGTGTCTTTTTGTCAGAGGTAAGTGAGAACAAACTACGGGAAATTAGTTTAAACCATGAATGGACTTTTGAAAAGCTGCGGCAGCATGTTTCCCGCAACGCCCAGGACAAGCAGGAGTTGCATCTCTTCATGCTGTCGGGGGTCCCCGACGCAGTGTTTGATCTGACAGATCTGGATGTGTTGAAACTGGAGCTGATTCCTGAAGCGAAAATCCCAGCGAAAATTTCCCAGATGACAAATCTGCAGGAGCTTCATCTGTGCCACTGCCCTGCGAAGGTCGAGCAGACTGCCTTCAGCTTCCTCCGGGACCACTTGAGATGCCTTCATGTGAAATTCACAGATGTTGCAGAAATTCCCGCGTGGGTGTATTTGCTCAAAAACCTCCGCGAATTGTACTTGATAGGCAATTTGAACTCTGAAAACAATAAAATGATAGGGCTTGAATCTCTCAGAGAGTTGAGACACCTTAAAATTCTCCATGTGAAGAGCAATTTGACCAAAATTCCCCCCAATATCACAGATGTGGCACCACATCTGACAAAACTAGTCATTCATAATGACGGCACTAAGCTTGTGGTACTCAATAGCCTTAAGAAAATGACTAATGTTGCAGAGTTGGAACTGCAGAACTGTGAACTGGAGAGAATTCCTCACGCCATCTTCAGCCTCTCTAACTTACAGGAACTGGATTTGAAGTCAAATAGCATACGCACAATTGAAGAAATCATCAGTTTCCAGCACTTAAAAAGATTGACTTGTTTAAAGCTGTGGCACAATAAAATAGTCAACATTCCTTCCTCTATTACCCACATAAAGAATTTGGAGTCTCTTTATCTCTCCAATAACAAACTGGAATCCTTACCAGCCGCAGTGTTCAGTTTACAGAAACTTAGGTGTTTAGATGTAAGCTACAACTCAATCGCATTGATTCCAGTGGAAATAGGTTTGCTTCAAAATCTGCAGCATTTTCACATCACAGGAAACAAAGTTGACGTTTTGCCGAAACAGTTGTTTAAATGTGTTAAATTGAGGACTTTGAGTCTGGGACAAAACTGTATTACCTCAATCCCAGACAAAGTTAGTCAACTGTTGCAGCTGACTCACCTGGAACTGAAGGGAAACTGCTTGGACCGTCTGCCAGCCACGCTGGGCCACTGTCAGCTGCTCAGGAAAAGCGGGCTCGTGGTGGAAGATCACCTCTTTGACGCTCTGCCTTCAGAAGTTAAAGAGGTGTTGAACCAAGACACAAGCATTCCCTTTGCTAATGGGATTTAGGCTGAGGTGAAATGCTCTGGTAGCTGACTTCCAAAGGGCAAGTGCGGAAAAAGTGTGGCAATTGTGAGACCGTGCGTTGTAGAATGTGGAACTCCCTGGAAGGCAGGACTGCGAGCAGGATTACAAGAGGTGTAACCGAGTGTTCAATGTTTGCAGTGTTTTAAAAGATTATTTCCAAAATTTTTGAGAGGATAAAGAACCTTAATAATCTCAATTCTTTTTTCCTTAAATTGTTTGTAACTTGGATGCTGCCGCTTTTGAATGTTTACAAATTTGCTTGCCTGCTTAAAGTAAATGATTAAATTGATGACCTTTTCTTACTATGCAAGTTATTCTTTAAGGTCTGGATTTACTTTAGTGCATTATGAGGGGGGAAAACAAGGATAAATGTTGCATACAGTATGGTTCTAACAGCACTTGAAACACAGGTTGATGTGTGTTGTTAGTGTTTAGCCATCCTCAGCGGATGAAAACAGTTTGGCTGTGCTTTGAACTGCACCAGAACCACCATTTTCCTGCATTAAGGTATGTGATTTGCATCAGCCCAAGTGCATTTGCCTTCATTCTTCATCCTCAAGGCGTTGTGGTTTTGGGTGAGACTTCTTCTGTGCTCCCGTGTGCTACTCCCTCACAGCGGCAAAGACTGGTCCTGTTCCTGCAGCTAGTCTCCACCAGCTTCCATAGTGCTCCACCGTCCCACGCAGCAGTGATGGTGAAAGGGAGAGCACTGCCACTTGGCTTTCACGTTGGGGATAGTTTTGATATTTGAACTGTTTTGCAAGGTGACTTCGAAAGCCATTAAACACCAAGTGACTTTACGCTCATGTTTTGCTCCCCTTCCGAGTTTTCATCTAGGAAACTCAAGGCTTTTTATGAGCTGGTGATTGTTTTGTTTCACTGCCCTTGCTTAGGAACTGGGGTGTCTGCTCCATTTTCTAGACTAATGACAGAGATGTAAGAGTTACAATTTGCCCAAACGTGATTTAGCTTTATCACCTATTGTGGTGTGTCTTCCACACCTGGACTTTAACCATAAGACTACCCTTCTCCCCGACCACAGCCCAAGTAATTTGATGTTTTTGAACATTTACGCACTATTAGAAAACCCTAAATGACGTAGACAAAAGTGAGCGTGGGATTTTTTTTTTTTGGTGGTGTGCGTGTGTTTTTTTTTTTTAACTGAGTTTGCATTGCCAGAACCATTAAAGAAATATAATCCATTAAATCTGCAAAATCATCAGTTGAAAATCTTGGTCATTTACATTCCATGTGTGCAGAAAAGAAGTACTATGCTGGGAGATGATTACATGATTACTCATGGTTTAAACACAATTCCCTATTGTAGTGCAGTCAGGACTGAACTAGTCTGTAGTTCAAGGGACTGTTCTTCTCACACAGAAATCCTCTTGCACAGTGATTTCTACTGTAACTTCACCAGAGCTGCCCTGACGTATGCCACTATCGACGAGGGGATAGTTCAGGCCTAGGGGCGTTGAGCAGTCAGGAACACTTCAAATGCTGCTCTTACGAATCTTGCACATTTTATTGTTAATCATTTACTGTTAGTCATGCTGGGACGACTGTTCTCAGCCGTAGGTAGCAGTCTCTGAATACATACCCGCACTGTATGTTTATGTGTATCAGAAGACCAGTTTATGAATAGTGGTTTTCCCACTTCTTTTGGGGATACAGTCTGTTTGCCACTTTCCACCAGGTAGTAAACTTGGGATGTTGACAGTTCTGCAACACCAAGTCATAGGTTTGGCAGAATACTTGCAGTTACTGATCTGTCCTCCACTGGGAAATTTAGTGCTAATCCTCAGAATTCTTTTTAAGTAGAAGTTAAGGTTGCAGTGGGTTATTTTTTTTAATAAACTCTTTCATGTGTTTATTTTTTGCACATAGATCACTTTAAAATTTCTGGACTATTGACTCTTTAGAAAAACTGTGGAATATACTATTGGTGTATGCTTTGTATTTGCTGTTGAGTGTCATTTCAGCTTCCAAGAAATTGTGTGTAGGAGGGAGGAAGAGTTGGATGATGAGGGAGTAATTAAAAAAAATCTAGAAAAATGGTTCTATTTTTCATCTTTTTCTCTTATTTTAATAGTGGAGTCGCACAGAATGCGGCCATGGATTGAGCCAGCTCTTAAAATCTTTTTTTCATGTTTCCGATTCTCCTACTGTCCCTACTGATGTTCAGAAAAATAAACCCATGTCCACTTCGTTAGAGTGCGGTATACATAATTTAGACCACTGTTTTGACTAGTTGTTAGGCAATTGTGCTTCTTCAGACAACTTCCTCTGAAATAGTTAATTTCAAGCTCGTGATGCTTGCTCAGCATAAACTCTGTTCTTGTTTTTAGGAGAGCTTTCTTGGAGTGGGGAGGAGCTGCCCGCCATTGGCCTGTCGCCTCCCCCCAGTCCTTCCTCCTCTCTGTGACTGTTTATGATGTTCCTATTTCCTAAGTGTCAATTGACACAGTCTTGCTTTAAAGTCTTGGAAGTTCATCTCTTTTCCATGTAAGGCATGTGAAATATATTTTGCATTTCTATTTGATTTAATAAATGAGATGTTTATATCTTCCTCTAATCTATTTTTTTATGGGGGAAAACTTTGCATGGTAAAATCTCTGATTTCAAGTATATCTGATGCTGAACTTGCTCTTTCGTGGCGAGAAATCTAAGAAGGAAGACGTATGAGGAGCTCGTCCTAGTAAATCCTGGAAGTATGGTTTCTAGCTAGAATATAGTATTTCAGGATAGGTGTTTTATATATATATATATAATCTAAATGACCTAATGCTGTTTTTATTTGGCTAATGGAGTTTTGCAGAGTGTATGGCCCTGGAAGAAAAACGGTTGCGTTCCATTAAATGAGAGGAAGTAGGAAATTGCCTGTTCTGCTCTTGCCACTGTAACGCATTTCTGTGAAAATCCTTTCGTTTTCCAGTAAATTGTCCTTTCGGAAGGTGCTTCCTGTGATGGAAACTGAGGTGTCCTGAGCAGGCATCAGGCCTCTCAGTGTAAGGGAGCATAATGATGCTAGTGAAGGGCTCGCCGCTGCTAAATTAATGGCTTTGCAGTCCTCAGCTGCCCTCTTGGGTAGGAAAGGGGAAGGCCTGGACACTGCACATCATGTCTAGTCATGAGGGATCCACTCTTTAAACACTCCCCTCCTCACTTTGTGGACTGTATTTTTAATTAAATAAGAATTTCACAGAAATAGCTGTTCTTTATATCGTGATTCTATGGATGCACAGAGAAATTAGTGGTGTATGATTATGTGAAGGCAATGGGTGGCTTTACTGAAGTCAAACAAATGAGGTGCTCCTGTAGCTGTGGTGGTGACCGCCGCTCTGGTTGGGCCTGATGACATCCAGAGGTGCCTTCCAACCTCAGCCATGGTGCGGTGCAATTTCTTGCAGGAGCAGATTTTGGCTTTCAGACTTCTCAATTCTCAAGACAAGAAACTGTGCAGGAACCTGACAGTGCCAAGTGTAACTCTTCTGCAGCTCACTGTGAACATGAAAAATGAGACGTCTGTGGGATGTGAACCTGTGAGGGTGCCATAGATCAGAACGAAAGCCTCGAATTTGCTGAGGCATCGCAGTGTTGATCACAGAGCCTTCCGGCACAGTGGCAGTGGACTGAGAGTAGCCAGTCTGGGCTGCTGTTGCCCAGTGTGATGGGATTACTGCCTGTGCAACAGCTGGCCTTGAGGGTAACGAGCTGATGACACCAAACTGGGAGGTGTGGTAGACACACCAGAAGGCTGTGCTGCCATTCAGCGTGACCTGGATAGGCTGGAAAGGTGGGCAGAGAGGAACCTGATGAGGTTCAACAAAGGCAAATGCAGGGTCCTGCACCTGGGGAGGAACAACCTCATGCACCAGTACAGGCTTGGGGCTGACCTGCTGGAGAGCAGCTCTGCGGAGAGGGACCTGGGTGTCCTGGTGGACGACAGGTTAACCATGAGCCAGCAGTGTGCCCTGGCTGCCAAGAAAGC